GAAATGAAATGAAATGAAATGAAATGAAATGAAATGAAATGAAATGAAATGAAATGAAATGAAATGAAATGAAATGAAATGAAATGAAATGAAATGAAATGAAATGAAATGAAATGAAATGAAATGAAATGAAATGAAATGAAATGAAATGAAATGAAATGAAATGAAATGAAATGAAATGAAATGAAATGAAATGAAATGAAATGAATGAAATGAAATGAAATGAAATGAAATGAAATGAAATGAAATGAAATGAAATGAAATGAAATGAAATGAAATGAAATGAAATGAAATGAAATGAAATGAAATGAAATGAAATGAAATGAAATGAAATGAAATGAAATGAAATGAAATGAAATGAAATGAAATGAAATGAAATGAAATGAAATGAAATGAAATGAAATGAAATGAAATGAAATGAAATGAAATGAAATGAAATGAAATGAAATGAAATGAAATGAAATGAAATGAAATGAAATGAAATGAAATGAAATGAAATGAAATGAAATGAAATGAAATGAAATGAAATGAAATGAAATGAAATGAAATGAAATGAAATGAAATGAAATGAAATGAAATGAAATGAAATGAAATGAAATGAAATGAAATGAAATGAAATGAAATGAAATGAAATGAAATGAAATGAAATGAAATGAAATGAAATGAAATGAAATGAAATGAAATGAAATGAAATGAAATGAAATGAAATGAAATGAAATGAAATGAAATGAAATGAAATGAAATGAAATGAAATGAAATGAAATGAAATGAAATGAAATGAAATGAAATGAAATGAAATGAAATGAAATGAAATGAAATGAAATGAAATGAAATGAAATGAAATGAAATGAAATGAAATGAAATGAAATGAAATGAAATGAAATGAAATGAAATGAAATGAAATGAAATGAAATGAAATGAAATGAAATGAAATGAAATGAAATGAAATGAAATGAAATGAAATGAAATGAAATGAAATGAAATGAAATGAAATGAAATGAAATGAAATGAAATGAAATGAAATGAAATGAAATGAAATGAAATGAAATGAAATGAAATGAAATGAAATGAAATGAAATGAAATGAAATGAAATGAAATGAAATGAAATGAAATGAAATGAAATGAAATGAAATGAAATGAAATGAAATGAAATGAAATGAAATGAAATGAAATGAAATGAAATGAAATGAAATGAAATGAAATGAAATGAAATGAAATGAAATGAAATGAAATGAAATGAAATGAAATGAAATGAAATGAAATGAAATGAAATGAAATGAAATGAAATGAAATGAAATGAAATGAAATGAAATGAAATGAAATGAAATGAAATGAAATGAAATGAAATGAAATGAAATGAAATGAAATGAAATGAAATGAAATGAAATGAAATGAAATGAAATGAAATGAAATGAAATGAAATGAAATGAAATGAAATGAAATGAAATGAAATGAAATGAAATGAAATGAAATGAAATGAAATGAAATGAAAGAAATGAAATGAAATGAAATGAAATGAAATGAAATGAAATGAAATGAAATGAAATGAAATGAAATGAAATGAAATGAAATGAAATGAAATGAAATGAAATGAAATGAAATGAAATGAAATGAAATGAAATGAAATGAAATGAAATGAAATGAAATGAAATGAAATGAAATGAAATGAAATGAAATGAAATGAAATGAAATGAAATGAAATGAAATGAAATGAAATGAAATGAAATGAAATGAAATGAAATGAAATGAAATGAAATGAAATGAAATGAAATGAAATGAAATGAAATGAAATGAAATGAAATGAAATGAAATGAAATGAAATGAAATGAAATGAAATGAAATGAAATGAAATGAAATGAAATGAAATGAAATGAAATGAAATGAAATGAAATGAAATGAAATGAAATGAAATGAAATGAAATGAAATGAAATGAAATGAAATGAAATGAAATGAAATGAAATGAAATGAAATGAAATGAAATGAAATGAAATGAAATGAAATGAAATGAAATGAAATGAAATGAAATGAAATGAAATGAAATGAAATGAAATGAAATGAAATGAAATGAAATGAAATGAAATGAAATGAAATGAAATGAAATGAAATGAAATGAAATGAAATGAAATGAAATGAAATGAAATGAAATGAAATGAAATGAAATGAAATGAAATGAAATGAAATGAAATGAAATGAAATGAAATGAAATGAAATGAAATGAAATGAAATGAAATGAAATGAAATGAAATGAAATGAAATGAAATGAAATGAAATGAAATGAAATGAAATGAAATGAAATGAAATGAAATGAAATGAAATGAAATGAAATGAAATGAAATGAAATGAAATGAAATGAAATGAAATGAAATGAAATGAAATGAAATGAAATGAAATGAAATGAAATGAAATGAAATGAAATGAAATGAAATGAAATGAAATGAAATGAAATGAAATGAAATGAAATGAAATGAAATGAAATGAAATGAAATGAAATGAAATGAAATGAAATGAAATGAAATGAAATGAAATGAAATGAAATGAAATGAAATGAAATGAAATGAAATGAAATGAAATGAAATGAAATGAAATGAAATGAAATGAAATGAAATGAAATGAAATGAAATGAAATGAAATGAAATGAAATGAAATGAAATGAAATGAAATGAAATGAAATGAAATGAAATGAAATGAAATGAAATGAAATGAAATGAAATGAAATGAAATGAAATGAAATGAAATGAAATGAAATGAAATGAAATGAAATGAAATGAAATGAAATGAAATGAAATGAAATGAAATGAAATGAAATGAAATGAAATGAAATGAAATGAAATGAAATGAAATGAAATGACATTTATTCAGTCTTGGCTGTTACAAGCACTTGTGAAGGTCAAGAACACAACGTGTTTTAGTTACTTACAAGTGCTAATTACATATGGACTAATAACTTAAATTCAGTAGTGATTTTAATTGCATATTTTGAATATTTATTTAATTTTTCAAATTAAAACTGAACTTAATTGACTGTGTTAACTATCCTTTTCCAGTCCTCTTATTATTTTATTGTAATTATTAATTATTTTATTTGCATGCAATTAAAAAATATTTTAATGATGCTAAAGAAGTATAACTTCTCACGCGCGTACATAAGTTACACGCATCCATTTTTTTATACTATATACCTATCCTAATGTCTGTCGGTAATCAAAAACCTATAGCAAATTTTACTTACCCCAGTTTCCGACTGGGTTAGAACTGCTTATGCTTATCAAAATCTGATTGGGAAACTTGAAACCACTTGGTATTACTGATTTATTATTTTTATGTTTCAGCATTTAACTGCTACATGTTTAAATCTTAATAAGTTTTTACTAGAAAAAAATTCACGAGGTTCTGGATGCAGACGGGACTAGAACCCGCACTAACCAATTATGCTAAGACGACCTTAAAGCCCGAGTCGAATTTCTTTTAGTATTTCTAAGCTGCATGCTGCATCTCATCGCATTGTAGTAACCCATAATGTCAAATGAAATGCTAAACAGTTTATAGTATATTTTTACTAGACTTGCAACGAATATTCGGTATTCGGCCTATTCGGCTGCTTTTATTATATTCGGCCGAATACCGAATGTCTAAATATTATTCGGCCGAATACCGAATACTTAAATAATATATTTTGTCATAGAGCTATAATTGGTAAAATGAAAAATTAAAATCGCTTGATTACGTATATATTTATTTTTTCATTTCTGTTATATAATCATTTAAGTTGTCATTGGTACATAACACAGGTACATAATCATCTTCTGAATTGGAAAAATGGAGGAGTCTATGTATTTGAATTATTGTGGTAATCAAAATTTAGAAGGGTAAGTAAGGTTCTCATTTCTTTTATAATCATTTCTTAAGTAGTCATTGGTACATAAAACAGGTACGTAATTTAATCATTTTCTGTATTAAACAATTTTTATTTCATTCAGTCATGTGATGAATGGTTATATAATAAATAGCAATAATATAAAGATTAGGCGCCGTTTTTGGCCATATCTCAAAAGTTGGTTTTGTCATTTAGCCGCATTTTAGCTTGAGGACGGCAGATTAGAACAAAACAAATGAGCGCGAAACAATCACGTCTGTACAAGTTTTTGGCGCTAAAATCCAGCCGAATACTTTTGCCTAATATTCGGCTATTCGGTCAGGGGCCTCGCCGAATATTCGGTATACTGCCGAATATACTATTCGTTGCAAGTCTAATTTTTACTATTACTTGTATTTCAAAATTCGTCTCGCCATTGAATTTTGTGGATATTTTTTCACATAACTCATCATAACTATAATTCTTGACGTCAGACAATTAGGTGTCCTTATTCTTCCTGGCCAGTTCTTAGGGTGGGGCCAAACGAGCGTAATTTTGTGAGTGGTGAGTCGCAGAATTTCGGTCGCAGAAATTCTGCTGCATTCGGTTTCATACAAAAAGGCAGTTGGTGCCACACGACAACGCAAAATGAGTTGTCTGTCGACTCAATGCGCATAAGCTCGTCCGAATTTCGGTCGGGGTGAGGGTAGGGGAAGGAAGGGGAGTGGGGAAGCAACAGTTTGTTACATGTTGCGTGGTGTAATAATTATTGAAAAACACGTAATGGCATATGATAGTACTTTTCAAACATATCTGGATTTGCACATAAACGTTCATATAAAGTATGGAACTGTCCACATATAAGCCTCTGACTATTCAGTGGGTTTACCCAGTTTCTTTTTCTGGCCTCATTTTCTGAATATGCTTCGTAAATAAACAATATTTTTAATGGATCCATTGCACTCGACGACACGAATACCCCGTACTAATGCTCAATAGTAACTGAATAAATTACGTTCGTATGGCAGCTCAACAGAAAATCAGTTGAACGTAAAATAAGTGACCGAAAATAAGCGACTCACAACTCACAAAATTACGCTCGTTTGGCTTCACCCTTAGAAAAGGTATTATAATGTTAAACTCACACGGCACGCTGACCTTCCTTGCAGTGACAGCTAGTGTGTCGTTGAGCGCCCTGAACCGCGCGTATATGGACAACGCCGTGAACGCGAACTGTAGCTCCTGGATCATCACCACGTACCACAGCAGGTAGAACCCCAGATAGTTCACCACCACTTCCCCTGGACATAGAAAATAAATACTTCGTACACTCCCAAAGTAAGTACGAGAACATTATAAAGGACAATGTTAAAATTGGCCTAAGAACCAACACCAATTTGGCATTTATGATAATTCTTAGTATATTTTTTGCGATAATTATCAGTATTTAGATTGTGACGGACACTTCCAGTTAAGTAAGCTAAATTAAAAAGTTAATAAATAATCTGAGACAATAAATACCATTTTATGTGTATAATCTATGACAGCACTGCAAACAAAACACTCTTTCTTCCCAATGCCGGCACTTCACTTGGCTGTTCCTATTTGCTATTTAAAAACATGACATCAGTCAGTCCTTTTCATTTCTTATTAAGCATGACAAGGACAAACTGTTGTCAAGTGAAGGGCCGGCATAAACTCGATACTCTGTGGTTGTGGTGCAGGCAGTTTGCATTCGTAGTAATCTGTGGTATTCGTGCATTCTCGTCAAAGAGTACTTTTTATAATACGGAAAATTCTCGTTTCGGATTACCTGTTGTGTGTGTTTATTTGCGATTGTTTTTCCTTTAATGAACTATTACTATTTCGGCTATCTAAAATGCCATCGATGTTACCAAAGAGCAGAAACCTTATTTCCAAGTGCTAGTGAACCTGTGCTACAACATCCTGAGAGGATCATACTGCCAAATTATTCAAGAGCACCTGATACACATTTACGCTGCATATTAACACAATATCCATGTGTTAAACAAATAAATAAAGTATACAATATGATAAAATTATGTGAAAAATAGTCAATAAATAATAAGAAGCAAAACTACAGTTTTTATTTTATTCATGATTCCTACCTAACCAAGTTTTTTCTAATAGTTATTTTTTAAAATCACACCTAATAAAATGAATTAGTTGTAATATTAATTCACTTCATACTAAGTTCATAGGTTGACCTATGTTTCATTGAATATTAAACATAACCTCAAAAAATTGTTAGTTTTCCTAATAATTTAAGTTCTCAGAAGTGTCCGTCAATAATCTTTGTTTTCACAGTCATTTACTTGCGATTTCGAACCCAGAAAATAATACTTCATGATTGTTGGTTCTTAGGCTGACTATGTATGGACGCAGAACAATGTCCTTTACCTATATGATAAATAGGCATTACTCGGGTGGTGTGGAATAATTTGATAGAAACTTATGGAATTGGACACGTAGCAAGAAGAACCGATGGCCGTTGGGGCGGAAAGGTTCTGGAATGGCGACCACGCACCGGACGACGCTCAGTGGGCAGGCCTGCTACAAGGTGGACCGACGATCTTGTGAAGGTCGCGGGAAGCCGATGAATGCGAGTGGCGCAGGACCGATCGGTGTGGAGATCCTTGGGGGAGTGCGGAGTTCTAGCCTGAGTGGATAGAACCTGGGGACGTAGAGACTAATTAAAAGAAACTTGATTTTATATTGGTTTTATTAGATTTCAGGCGAATACAAGTTTTTTTATCTAACTACGAAAGGTCTGGTGCCTGAACTCCATCTGCTGTATGGAACCTTCTATCAAAAGACAGACGATTCCTTATTTCAAATATGAAAACCATAAGATTAACTTTTTAATATAACTGCCAGCCGTAGACATTGCATGAACAAAGAGTTTACCTAAACAAGGAGGCTGTAACTTAACGGACGTTACAGGGAGGCCTATGCTCAGCAGTGGGCGTCGTACGGCTGACATGATGATGATATGGAATTGGAAGTAACCTCTACTTTACCTTTTTTGTCATTGGCATGCTATGATATTTGTGGTTGAAATAAATGAATCATTATTGTTTCCTTTTAAATATTATTATTATTTACAGAAAACTACAGTAAAATAACACAAGCTTTGGGGTCGTTGTGTTTCTGTAGGTGAGAAAGGATTCTGGGCTCCAAAGTGTAGGGGATTGGGCCAGGGCCTGGTTGATTCCCAATAAGGATCCCAAGACACCACCGCTGGCAAGGAGGGCACATCCCGAAGTTATCGTGGGTAGGGCCTCCCCATCCTGAGCAGCCACTGAGCCAGCCTACGAAAAAGGAGAAGTACCCCGCCGCCTACCCAGTGCTTAGATTAAAACAAAAAGGGTAGATACGGCACTAGCTTCACAAAAGTGATCCGCATGAATTGTGGTCCACGACCCTAATCGCTTTAGTCACAACTTGATATGCAAACGAAGTACATGTGAACGCCAAAAAGAAATATTGCTAATATTTTGTGTTTATATGATAAAATAATGCCTAAGTATGTTTTTAAAAAGTGCTCAAATTGCTCAAGCACTAAAAATAACACCCACAGCATCACTTCATTCGTAAGTACTATAAAATATATTTTTACATAAAAATTGCTGTTTGTTTTGAATCTTATTCGGTAGTGACGTCGAGTACTGGTCGCGTGAATGGTCGGTAGTGCAGTGACGCGGATCTCGCCGTCCCGTTCGCGCTGCCGTGGGATCAGTTTTTGTTTGATGCAAGTATGAGCTTACCGTATCTACCCTTTTTGTTTTAATCTAAGACCCAGTGGCGGGGAATGCGCAACGCATTTCTCCGGGTCAAAAAGAAAGGAGATGAGACAAAGGCTCGGGTAATATTTTTGCTATCACAAGCGTCTATAGACTATGCTGACCGCTTACCATGAGGTGGGCCATACGTTTGATTGCCGCATTTATTAAATTAAAAATATAAACTTATCATCACCATTAGTGTATTAATGACCCACCCCACTTTCAGGGGCACAGTCATTCCTTATCGGTGGAATAGGCGCATTGAGCGATGCCATTTTCTTTTCAGCTGTGACACCAAGAAACAATTTCATTTCATTACTTCCACGACTATTTGAGCATGGTAAAGAATATAAGGAGGCTTAACAAACAGATTTTTTTTTAATTTTTGAAGTTAAACTTCTTTTCGGACGTGGTTTAAATGCAAACATCCTGCGCAAAAGTGAAATGGAAATGCACTACGAGCGTCACATGACTATAGATGTGTGTGTGTGTGTGTGTGTGAGGGATGCGTGCGCAGCTGTTCCCGAAGAGCATGAAAATTGGTGGGTAACTCGGCGATGGCTGAAAGGCTACGAGCGTATATATGAGTGATGGGTGTGCTGCTCCGTTCTTCTATACCTTATGCACTAGTGTTGCCGAACTATCGATATTAAAACTATCGACAGTTTACATCGAAAATCATGTACCCTATCAAGGCCTATCGATAGAATCGATACAACCGATAGTATCGATAATATCGATAGCTCAGAACAAGGCAATACTATCGAATGAGTGCAATACTATAGATACTATCGATACTATTGTAGTTCGTTAATAACAAACGATTGATAGTATCGATACTATCGATAGTGTTGATTTTATCTGCAACAATACTATCGATAGTATCGATACTAGCGACTGTTTTAGACTAAAGTTTGTGATTGATTATAATAGTTACCTGAAAATTGTAAACAATACTATTGCAAATTGTTAAACTTTCGATAGTATGGTTGTAAATAAAATCGACAGTATCGATACTATCGATAGTTTGTTATTAACGAACTACAATACTATCGATGGTATTTAACTCATCTGATAGTATTGGCTTTTTCTGTGCTATCGATAGTATTGATAGTATCGATACTATCGATAAGCCGATCGATTGTCATACGATTGGTTGGCTATCGATAGACTATCGATTAATCATCGATAGTCGACTATCGATCGGCAACACTATTATGCACCGCCTAATGTTAGTTTGTTTATGGAAAAAAGTTTCACTTCAGATGTGTGGGTCCGTGCATACTTATTATTTTCCACTTACAGTGTCTTTCGATCTTCTTCGCCTGCAAAACGTAGAAGCAGAAGTCGTCCACGAGGAGTACCGTGAAGAATATGAGTATGGAAGCCAACAAGGCGCATAGCTTTCGCTCCGTCACTGCTGAGTATTGCGCTGAGATGCTATTGTCCACCTGTAACATCATCAGCCTATTAATGTCCCCACTGCTGGGGCACAGGCCTTCCCTATGGATGGAATAGGGAGATTGGGCCATGACCACCACGCGGGTTCAGTACGGATTAGCGGGTGGTAACGACTGCAGATGCAGCCGGGACCAACGGCTTAACGTGCCTTCCGAAGCACGGAGGAGCTCGAGATAGTAATTTTTGGTCACCCATCCAATGACCGACCACTGCGAAAGTTGCTTAAGTTCAACGATCGCAGTCGAACGCGCTAACCACTTGCGCCGTCGAGCTCCTCCTCACCTGTAACATAGTCTTTATTTATAGATTATTATATTTAGGACACTTTCTTTACAACAAACTCAATAGATAATTAGGTTTCTATAGAAATGGTTCGTGGTCGTGTAAGGGAAAACATGTAAAATACCTACAGGCACTTACTTATACAGAAACTGAACATTTGTTGCAGATTTTATCATGATACAATAATATCTATATATTTACCGCTGACACTTTGTCTATAAACTTGAGCATGCTCCTCATCCTTACAAGCGCGCCGTAGACACTCACCCAGGCAAACGCCTTAACCCCAACACATCCGAAACTAAATCATTATCATATTTACCGCTGATACTTTGTCTATAAACTTGAGCATGCTCCTCATCCTTGCAAGCGCACCGTAGACCCCCACCCCGGCAAACGCCTTAACCCCAACACATCCGAAACTAAATCATTATCATATTTACCGCTGACACTTTGTCTATAAACTTGAGCATGCTCCTCATCCTTGCAAGCACGCCGTAGACCCCCACCCCGGCAAACGCCTTAATCACAACACATCCGAGACTACATTATTATCATATTTCCCGCTGACACTTTGTCTATAAACTTGAGCATGCTCCTCATCCTTGCAAGCGCGCCGTAGACCCCCACCCCGGCAAACGCCTAAACCCAAACACATCCGAAACTAAATCATTATCATATTTACCGCTGACACTTTGTCTATAAACTTGAGCATGCTCCTCATCCTTGCAAGCGCGCCGTAGACCCCCACCCCGGCAAACGCCTTAACCACAACACATCCGAGACTAAATCATTATCATATTTACCGCTGACACTTTGTCTATAATCTTGAGCATGCTCCTCATCCTCGCGGGCGCGCCGTAGACCCCCACCCCGGCAAACGCCTTAATCACAACACATCCGAGACTACATTATTATCATATTTCCCGCTGACACTCTATAAACTTGAGCATGCTCCTCATTCTTGCAAGCGCGCTGTAGACCCCCATCCGGCAAACGCCTTAACCACAACACATCCAAGACTAAATTATTATCATATTTACCGCTGACACTTTGTCTATAAACTTGAGCATGCTCCTCATCCTCGCGGGCGCGCCGTAGACTTCCACCCCGGCTGATACCTCAACCTCAACACATCCGAGACTACATCATTATTATATTTACCGCTGACACTTTGTCTATAAACTTGAGCATGCTCCTCATCCTCGCGGGCGCGCCGTAGACCCCCACCGCAGCCGATGCCACAACTACGAGCACATCACACGCGGACACCACCTGCGACATCCGCGACGACATCCGCACCGACCGCTCCACACCCACGTTAATCTCCGCCACCAGACCGCACACCGTCGATATCACTGGAGAAATTTAAGTTATTTTTTCTGTTTTTATCTGATCAAAAAAAAAATAAAAGAGAAAATCTATCTATTAGAAAATTTATAATAGAAACTAGCTGACTCGGCGAACTTCGTACCGCCCAAAAGTAATAATTCCAATAAATTAAAATTGCGACTATAATTTGAGATTTAAACTATCCTATCTCTCAAGTTGGATCGAACTGCACATGGTGTGCGAATTTTATTATAATCGGTTCAGTGGTTTAGGAGTCCATTGAGGACAAACATTGTGACACGAGATTTATATATATTAAGATTAAATAATAATAGCAATGATTCTCAAAGTCGAGTCAATGTCGAAGCTAATGAAAAACACCAAAGATAACGAACAATTCAAAGTGTTGATATCAAAAGTTTACAATAATTAAATACTTATGATTTTATTTATTTTTAAGCATTTAACTGCTAGATGTTTAAATCTAAAGAAAAGTTTACTAGAAAAAAAACCACGCGGACCAGGCAGCGGACGGGATTAAATACTTACTCAGAATGCTGACTAATGTGAAGCTGTAGATGCACATGGCATTCGATACAGTCACTGTAAATCCGTTTTCGTTAGATTCGAAATGGAGCGGCGCCAGGCCGAAGAAACTTGACACCTGAATGAGAACAAAAATGTCACAAGTTACTATGTAGTAAGAAAAGGTTACAAATTTTGATACTGCGTCCTGCGTAACTGCGTCTAAGTCCATACAAGACTATTAAGACGGTTGCCGCGTCAAAACCGTGCTTATAGTGGATAAGGACAGCTGACACGCGGTCACGGCACGGTCGCCGTGCAATGTGAAAGCTCTCATTGTTGCTCATACATTACTATTTTACACGGCACGGCAACCGTGCCGTGTCCGTGTACATGTGAAAAGGCACTAAGTGTAAATGATTGGAGTCGAGTACGCCCGTATTCAGACAGTTTTTGTTTTGGTTTTCCGACACCGTCTTCCAGCCCCTATTCCAATGTAAATATTACTTCGGGTGCCTGATTTCGAGTAATGTCTTTCGTGCACCCGGATACGGGCTAACGATCGAATGTAATCGAGACATATAATGCGATTCAGATAAGAATAGGAAAGCCAATGACCTGCATCTGTCAAATGTCGCTTGAAAAGTACGGTTGGAAAAAAAATCTCGGAACACTTTTTTTAGCACTCGGCTAATTCTAGAATAAAAACCAAACATTTTTAAACAAACAATAACAAATATTGATAATTAAAGTCGGTTGATATTTTTTTCATTTATTGAGCTTTGGTTGAATGTTTGATATCCTAAATCGTCAACCAAATGTCACTTTATGTTGCGTTCAGTAACTCGATTTAAAACTTGCGTTTATTTAAAGGATGCATGTTCGTATGTGAGCTGCATGATTACTCATAACTACTCCGGTGGTAATGCAGAGATGAACGTAATTGTAGAGCTAGAGTCTGATTAATGATTTTTCTCACAGTCATAATAAAGAAATATTATTAAAAATCGGTTGTTTTTTTTCTCAATCATAGTAAATAAATTTTATTGAAAAATCTGATGTTTTTTTCTCACTTAATCTTAGTAAATAAGTTTTATTAAATAGTTTTTTTTTTTTGCTCACACTACCTATTTGGTTTGAATTGACAGCTATGACGTCAAAATATGGCGCCCACTCGGTCCAATTCTTAGTTGAATCGCATTATAAGAATAGGTATATCGCGATGCAATTCAAACTGATCCTTCAGCTTGATCCTTTGGCTTTGCATAGGGATGTAGCTTCGCTCTGCATCTTCTATCGCATTTATCACGGAGAGTATTCTGAGGAATTGTTCGGATTAATTCCAGCAGCATTTCGCCATCGTACATCGCGACAAAAATTTCATCCCCATCATCTTGATGCGTGGCTATCCACAACCGTGCATTTTTGTAGAAATTTTTTACCACGTACAACAAAACTGTGGAATATATTGTCGCCAGCAGTGTTTCCGGACCAATACGACCCAAAAACCTACAAAAAAAGAGTATACTCCTTCCTTAAAGGCCGGCATCGTATTTGTGATACTCCTGGTGTTGCAAGTGTCCATGGGCGACGGTGATCACTTACCATCAGGTGAGCCGACTGCTCGTATGCCCCTATAACATAAAAAAAACAGAGAATTATTATAATCCTACTAACGAGTTCCCGCTACTTTGTCTGCGTGGTTTAAATGATTTCCGATACAAAATTTCATCCTTCATTTCAGCCACTTCGAGTTTCAATTTCACTACAAAAAAGTAACGTATACAACCGTCTTTAAGGTCCTATCTTTCACAATCATCATCACCAGCCTATTAATGTCCCCACTGCTGGGGCACAGGCCTTCACTATGAATGAAATAGGGTGATTGGGCCATGACCTACCAAGTGGGGATTGGTGGGTGCCAACGATTGCAGATGCAGCCGGGACCAACGGCTTAACGTGCTTTCCGAAGCACGGAGGAGCTCGAGATAGCAAATTTCTGGTCACCCATCCAATGACCCACCACTGCGAAAGTTGCTTAACTTTAACGATGGTAGCCGAACGCGCTATACACTTGCGCCATCGAGCTCCTTTGAATAATAAATAGTTAATTTATTTTGGCGGAATGTTAAATTACCTTAAGTATAAACGCATGTGCGCCACCGACGACGCAATGGGTGGGTACTCTGTGCGGCTGATTGTGGATGGACATCGGAGCAGGAGCCATCTGCGGCGGCTTAGCATTCCTCTCATCCACACCTAAGGCAAAAAAAGCAAGACCTAGAGGCATAGTATAACTACTTATATTATTCTATGGGTAAATTTTCTTTTACATACATCGAACTTTCGCGTAGATCGCGGAGGAAATTGTCGAGAGCCAAACCTCGAATTTTGCAATTTTTATACGCAATTTTCAGCGTTAACTACTGTTTCCTTCCCTATAGACTTAGATTAAAACAAAAAGGGCCTATCGCACGGTATTTGCCAATGCGTGACAACAATAGTTATTTCAAATAACTTTCTCAAATGTTTTTCAGCTCGCGTCCATTCTAAGTGTCGCCGCACACGGGCCACCGACCACAACCACAAAACGCCGCCACCGGCATATTTCTTGTAGTTTTCATACATTTTATATGGGCTCGCCACACACGGTACGCCGGTGGCCGCCACACGCTACAAATCGTCGTTGCTCGCTTTTAGTAGCCCGCACCGGCCACTTAATGCGCCGATACAAAACGCCGCCACACGTCACTCGCGCGATTCCCCACCCCTCTCTCCCTTACCTTAGTCGGCCGCTGTCGCGCGCTTCACCCACTTTAGTAGCCGCTTGCAGCTTCTCGTGGCGGCGTTTGTGGAATAGAATAGACTAGAAATAAATCTTTTTTTTTTTTTATATATATATAATTTGCAATCAGTCTTTGGACTATGAGCAAATTTATTGAGCGCAACCAAACATGACAGGAGTGGTCGGCCAGCGCCACCACTTCCTTTAAAGAACATTCTTCCTCTTCAGTCTCGAGACGCGGTCAGCTTGCTCAAGCAATTGGCATATTAAAGGATTTGGATGGTTTGAGAGGCGCTCAGTGTACCTCGATATGCAATTGTCTATCTCTTCTGCGACAGTGGGCATGTTCAAGTATTCATGAATTTCGTCATTTTTTGTGAACCATGGTGCATTTACTATTGTTCTGAGGATATTATTTTGAACTCGTTGCAGGCAAGTAATGTTACTTTTGCAAGCAGTGCTCCACAACTGTATCCCATAAGTCCAAACTGGTTTTATAATGGTATTGTAAATAAGAAGCTTGTTGTCGATTGACAGGGCAGAGTTACGGTTCATAAGCCAATGAAGGTTTCTGTATTTTATATTAACTTCATCTCTCTTTTTCTTTAAGTGCTGCTTCCAGGTGAGTCTCCTATCCAAGTGGAAACCAATATACTTGACGCAATCTGAGTGTGGGAGTGTGTCTGACCCAAGGTGAACAGGAGAACAGTTTCCCTTCCTTAATGCAAACGTAATGTGGTTCGATTTTTGACCACTGACTCGAATACGCCATTTTTTCAGCCATGCGTGAGTTTGATCTAATAGGTTCTGTAGCTTTGCACTAGCTATGTCAGGGTCTTTATCGCAGGCAAGGTATGCAATGTCATCAGCGTATGTAGCAATTACAGCGTCGCCAGCAGAGGGAAGGTCGTACGTGAATATGTTATACAGAACCGGACCAAGTACCGATCCTTGCGGGACTCCAGCCTCCACAGCTTGCAAGGAAGATCGTGAGTCATCGACTTTAACCCTGAAGTATCTTTGTGATAGGTACGATGCAATTATGAGGTAAACCGAGTGTGGTAGGTTCTTTTTAACCTTGTACAATAGGCCCTTGTGCCAAACCTTGTCAAACGCCTGTTGCACATCTAGGAAAGACGCGGAACAGTATTCTTTTCTCTCATAGCAAGTTCTTACTGTGTCATATACACGATGCATTTGTTCTATGGTGGAGTGGGATTTTCTAAAACCAAATTGATGTGTAGGGATGAGGTCACATTTATCCATGCAATATTTAAGGCGGGTAAGGAAAATCTTTTCCCACAGTTTAGAAAGTGTAGGCGTCAAGCTAATGGGTCTGTAGGATGTAGGTTCATGTATAGGTTTTCCTGGTTTGTGTATCATGATGATTTCAGAGATCTTCCATATGGCTGGGAAACAAGACGTCCTAAATATGGCGTTAAACAGGCATGCCAGGAAGGTGATACATTTTCTAGGAAGTTCCTTTAAGACCCGTGTTGAAATGAGGTCGAAACCAGGCGTCTTTTTCGAATCGAGTAATTTAATTTCTCTTGCAATTTCTTTTGGGGAGGCAGGTGTCAGAGGCAGGCATAGCAGGAGATCTTGACCAAGTACCGTTTCAACTTCAGTTTCATCCTCTAGAGGATCGTTAGGCTTAAAAGTTGTGGCAAGATGGGTAGCGAAAACGTCAGCTTTCTCTGCATTTGTTTTTGCCCAGGAAGTAGAAGAAGATCTAATAGGCGGAGTGCATTGCATTGGTTTTCCAACAATCCTCGTGTTTTTATACAGAGAATATTCGCCTTTACCATGTGGTGACATACTTTCCAATTTTTGTTTAATATTGGCATTCCTAGTTGCCTCTACAACTAACTTTAGGTCTTTTATAGCACGGTTAAACACCTTTTTGTCGACCTCTCTTCTAGTTTGGTGCCATATCCTTCGCAAACGGCGCTTTTCTAAAATTTTCTTTTTTATTTCGGAGGAAACTAATATGTTTTGTGGGGCATGCTCAACATACGGGGTACTTTTCCAAGCAGCAGTCTGAATCACATTTGTGACATGCACACAAGCAGCATCCACATCTTCTTGGGATTTAAGTGGCATCCTAAAGTTAAGATTGGTATCTATAAAATAACAAAAGCATTCCCAGTCGGTCTTATGATTTGTCAAGGTTTCAGGCTGTTTTTCGGACATGATGACAGATGAGCTCAAAGTTAATATTACCGGGGTATGATCAGAACTCCCATCTAAGCTAGATTCCACGCAGGTATATAACTGACTTATGTTTTGAGTAACGAAAAAGTCGAGGAGATCTGGAAGTCTACATTTGTCTGCTGGCCAGTAGCTGGGTTCTCCAGTGGATATTGCCATTAGGTGAAGAGCACATTGACTTTTTCTCAGTTCACGACCTCTCGGTAGAGTGATGCGAGAACCCCAGAATGTATGCTTGGCGTTCCAATCACCACCTGCAATAAATGTGTTGCCAAGAGTTTCGAAATATGCCTGGTACATTTCTTGTGTAATCTTATGCTTCGGGGGACTGTATACAGCGGATAGAATAAATGATCCCGTTCGATCCTCTACACGTACAGAGGTAGCCTGAATGTGGTATGTTGAGTATCCTTCCAATGGCACGTGTTTAATGTTCGAACGAATGACTAGCGCCGTTCCAGCATGAGCTCGGCCATCGGGGTGCGGCGTGAAATATATTTTGTAGCCTTTCATCTGGAAGTTACTTTTATTAACTGCATGAGATTCTGATATAAGGGCCACGTCTAGTTGATTAATGGACAACATGTTTTCCAGTTCGCAAATGTTCGGAGACAGCCCATTGATGTTCCAGGTTGCAATGCGGATATTTAGGAATTTGGTTGAAGCATGGAGATGAGAGTTGTCAATAGGTTCATTAATGTTCCTATTTGTTGAATGAGTAGATCAAGTTTTTCTCCTTTGTAGGGTACTGCTGCTTACTCTCGCTATCATTAGTTGGGTGTTTGACTGATTTGACATGTGTTACTTCCGCGTAAGTCCTCCTAGCATTCGTATATTTGTGGGTGTTTGTTGTGGTCTTGTTTTCCTCGAATCTTTTAACGTTATTTAATGTTGTCTTTCTGTTAGGTTCTATAATTGGGTTTGTGTTGATTTTGTTGGCAGTTTTTCTAGAGAGGATTTCTTTATAGACCTGACATCCTTTATAGTTTGCTGGGTGGTCGAGAGAACACAGTGCACACTTAGCTGGAGTATTTCTGTCCTTTTTAGGACAATCGCTGGTTTTGTGCCCTTCGCCGCACTTGACACATCTATAAGGCCTCAAGCAGTTATTTTTTGAGTGTCCATACTGTTGGCATCTTTGACACTGGACTATGGTTTTAGACCTTCGTGGCTCCTCTATTTTAACCTGTTGTTGATAAATGTGCTGTATTGCTTTCAACTCTTTGTTTTGCTCACAGGGTGCGACGTTGACGAAGAAAGTGGAAGTAGGTTTTTTCTCTGGCCCATACCGACAGTTTATGACTTCTCCAACAACTTTGTTTCCCGTCTTCTCTATCACTTCTACGATGGCTTCATGAGGAGTAGTATGATGAAGGTTTTTAATGACTATGCGATAGCATTTGTTGTCTTTTCTAGTGAAAGTGTGTCCTATTAGTCCTCTTTGTCTTATAAGCTCGATAACTTTTTTATAATTTTCAACCGAGTCAATCATAACTCGTATCAGGTTTCCGTTTATAATCTTGTATGTAAAGGTATCCTTATCTACTACTGAAGTTATTAGTTTCGATAGCTCATTTACGTCCTCTATGCCATATAGTATTATTGGAGGCGGTCTACTTGGATTTTTTGGTAAAGATGGTCTATCTTCAGGTGTATCTACCGGCAGGTTGCTGAAACGATTTTGGGTTTGAGTTTCGGTGGGAGGTGGAGAGAAGCAATACTTCCGTTTTTTGGATCCAGGAACTCGTTGCCACAAAGGTGGCAGTTGGTCTGTTTCTGGTGTTTGAACAGCGGTTACATCTATTTCCGTTTGAATATCTTGAGCAAGTTCGCCACACGAGTATGATCTTGGTCTTGAGTCAAAGAAGCTTTTGTGGAACACTTGTTGGGCAAGCACTTTATGCGGTTTGTTTTGATGAGGTTGTGAAGTTTTGGTTAGATTTGGTTTTATAATTTCATTCATTGGATTCCCACGAGATAGGACGAAATATAAGTCACTCACAGGGTGACGCCTATTCCTGTAAGAAGGCACTTATACAACGATGGTTGCCCGTAAACATCGAGGTTGGCGCTTGAGACTGATTGCCTATCAGCCATCCATCCTATCGGCACGGTCCACACCTTAGGATTAGGGTAATTTTTATTTTATTCAATAAAGGTTTTCTTCCTTTGAGCCCGGGCAGTTAAGCCAAGACTCTCTTCGGTTAGATCTTCTGGTGACAAGTCGTGGATATAAGATCGGAGATTGTTATCCCCTTGCCAGATATTCGGTTATAGCGCCGAAGGCTCGCTTTTGCCCTTCACATTGGCTATCTTGG